GTCTGGAAGAAATTATCGTTGAATCTGAATCGGAACGACTGATCGATACGGAGGATCTGCAAGCCGAGATCGTTGTTCTTCGACTTGCAGTGGACTTTGAGGTTCTTGTTGTGTCCTAAGGAGTTCCTGACCACGACCGTGTTGGGATTCTTGGCATCGCACGTGGCGATTAGGGCAATGATCACAAGGACGACGATGCACTTCGAGTTCATTGTATGAATGTGGAATTGTTTTCTCGTAATTTGTTAGTGGTATTTATCCTAGAGAGTTTGAAACTATTTATAGATATAGACAGGTACATGCGTATCTCTATGTAATGATTTTGGCTTTTGTTATGTTACAATCTTAATTTATCTAATTTTCCTCCTTTTTTAGTTTCTTGATTTGCAACTATACAACGAGTTGTCGTGGGGGGGGGGGGAAACTGAAGAGAATGTCGATGGCCAAATATAGAAATTGAATATCTAAGTATGTGAAAGAAGGTTAGGCTTGTTGGTTATGCGTTTTACTATATATATTTGTATATATTTGATTGTATTTAAGTTGAGATTCTTAGATAAGGTGGTATTCTCTATTCAAATGTTTTATGTTAATATTATTTCGAATATCTATCAAGGGTTTGTGCATATGCCTTACATGGATGTGCATTAAAGGGTTTATACATATGTATATGTAAGTTGACATTAAAAACATTATTTGCTGCAAGAAAAAAAAACAATATTATGTAACTGATATTTCGTGAATATAGACTTTAAATGCTTATGACAAAGGGATTTTCTTATAAACTTATTTAACCCGAATAAAACGTTAAAAAAAAATTCTTTATTTTACTAACAAAAAATTAAATTGTAATATCTAAAATTTTATATTCCATATTTTGATACTTGAATTTGGAAAAATAAAAAATGAGATGGTTTTGGCCAATCAAAGTGCAAAAAAAGAAGAGTTGACCAAATAAACCGACATTTCATCCATTTTACGAAGCTTGGGTATTCGAATGCGAAATATATACAATTTCGATAATAAAACAAGATTTAAACGTTATTGCTTTGGAATGATTTGTTTGATGCCTTTCCATTCATGTTCTCTTTTCCTCTATACCTTATTTACATGTTAGAATTTATCAATTTACAATTGAATTCGCAATAACAATCGTAGTTATGATTTATATAAAATTGAAAAAAATAAACATTTTTATCAATAAAAATGTCCACTAACTGAACCGAACCGAATTGAATTTAATATAAAAACCGAAAAATTGTTGTTGTTTTGAAACAAAATAAGCATATGTGATCCAATATATAACTGAACCAGGGAAAAACCCCTAGGTGAGTTAGCAAGGAGCATGGTCAACATATCGAGAGGTTGGGGGTTCGACTCCTTGCCCGCTCACCTATCGCCTGTCAGTTACGGCTGATTTACCTCCCACGCGTGTGTTGCAGGCTTGTGCGTGTGGGATTGAATTTACTCGGTCAGTGCGCCCGAAGGACCGCAGTCGGGATTCCCAATATATCAAAAAAAAAACTGAACCAAATCCGAAATGGTCACCCTAATAACAACATTAAAATAATTATTTTATGAGATGAGAAATCAATTATTATAGATTTATAATTGATGCATACGCGTCATCAACCTTTGGTCGGAATACAAATAGTTTTAGGATATATATTTTGTGGGAAATCATACAAAGGAGAAGCATTTCTCATTCATTTGTGAGGCTCGTCCCATTTATACTTGAAAACTGGTGGCTCCTTGTATTTCAAGAGATAGATCCCTTCCTCTCTTGCATCCCAAAGGAACTCCTCCCCGTACCTCGGGAACTCAGCTGCACTGTAAGCCACGAACACTTGGTGATGCATGTAGTTCGGGCCCTGCCACAGGAACTGTCGACCGTCTTGAAGAAGTTATCGCTGAATCTAAAACGGAACGACTGACCGATACTGAGGATCTGGAAACCGAGATCGTCGTTCTTCGACTTGCAATGGACTTTGATATAACAACCTGATGTTTTTTTAAGTTAATTAATAAATTAATTAGTTAAATAATAATTATTATTAAAAAAAAGAGAGAGATGAGCAGCCCACGTGAAATATATTCCTCTGCCGGTACAACAACCTACCTATACATACATATATATGTATATATAATATTATTAAAAAAATGTAATAATCTCTCTATAAGAGAGATGCAGGAGGAGCTTGCATAACACGGAGACGGAGAGAGAGAGAGAGAGAGAGAGAGAGAGAGAGAGAGAGAGAGAGAGAGAGAGAGAGAGAGAG